AGTAGTAATAATAATAATAGTTAGTAATAATAGTAGTAGTAGTAGTAGTAATAATAATAGTAGTAGTAGTAGTAGTAGTAATTAGTAGTAGTAGTAGTAGTAGTAGTAGTAGAAATAATAGTAAGGATAATAGTAATAGCAGTAGTAGTAGTAGTAGTGGTGGTAGTAGTAGTAGTAGTAGTATTAATAGCAGCAGTAGTAGTAGTAGTAGTAGTAGTAGTAGGAGTAGGAGAAGGACTGGAGTGGTGTGGTGGAAGTTGCAGTGGTACCGGAAGTTGTGGTGACAGTGGATGCGATAGTGGTAGTTGTAGTGGCGGTAGCAGCAGTAGCCGTGTACTAGCCGTACCATTAGCAGCAGTAGCAGCAGTAGTAGTAGGAGCAGGAGTAGGAGTAGGACTGGGAGTGGTGTGGTGGAAGTTGCATTGGTACTGGAAGTTGTGGTGACAGTGGATGCGATAGTGGTAGTTGTAGTGGCGGTAGCCGCAGTAGCTGTGTACTAGCCGTACCAGTAGCAGCAGCGTTACAATGGGCAGTAGAAGGAGTAGCAGTAGTAGCAGTAGTAGTCGTCGTCGTAGTGGTAGTCATAGTCGTCGTCGTAGTAGCAGCAGCTGCTTTACTGTGGGCAGCAGCAGTCGTCGTTGTGGTGATGGTGGAGTAGTAGTAGTAGTAGTAGTAGTAGTAGTAGTAGTAGTAATAGTAGTAGTAGTAGTAGTAGTAGTAGTAATAGTAGTAGTAGTAGTAGTAGTAGTAGTAGTAGTAGCAGTGTTGACGATATAAATCTGCACTACTGGCACTACCCATAATAAGGAATATGCCATAATTCCGGCAGCCTTAAGGTAATGCAGGAGTTATATCATCAACCGCAGTAGTCGCAGTCGTAGTAGCAGATGTTGTTGTTGTTGCTGTTGCTGTTGCTGTTGCTGTTGCTGTTGCTGTTGTTGTTGTTGTTGTTGTTTTTGCTGCTGCTATTGCTGTTGCTGCTGCGGTTGTTGACGATGTCGAGTGTGTGTTGGCTGTAATGTAGTTGTTGCAGGTGATGCTGTTGTTGTTGCTGCTGTTGTTTTTTGTTATTATTCTTATTTTTCGTCGTGCGGCGGCGGCTGTGGTTGTGGTCGTGGTTCTGGTTGTAGTTGTGGCTGTGGTTGTGGCTGTAGCTGTGGCTGTAGTTGTGGTTGTTGTGATTAGTTGTGGTTGTGTTTGCATCTGTGGTTGTCATGGTTGCTGGTGGTTGTCGTGGTGGTTGTGGTGGTGGTGATTGTGATGGTGTTGCTGGTGATGGTGGTTGCGGTGGTTGTGGTGCTTATTGTTGTTGTTGTTGTTGCTGTGGCCGTTAGTGTTGTTGTTGTGGTTGCAGTCGTCGCAGTAGCGGTGGTGGCAGCGGTAGCGGTAGGAGTTGTAGTAGTCGTCGAAGTCCCAGACATAGCAGTTCGTAGTAGCACTTGTTTGCGCAGAATCGTAATCATGGCTATCCGAAACATGACACTAAGCCACTCAGCCTAAGCGTCGCACTGACCAGCCAAATTCAGAATATGAAATACTGGGCTATTGCCGGCATCCGCATCCTCACCTGCGGCCGGCCTCATACAGGAGCTCCTCAGCCCTGGCCCAATCTCCATTCCGCCCACATGCGCGAACCTCTGCCACGAGAGTCGCAGTTTCGCAACTCCTGGACAGCATGAATTTATCTAGGGCTGAGGCGGTTTGGGGTTCTAGGGCCCGCACTTAGGGCCTTCAGGGTCCAGGGCCGGCATGCAGGAAATACGATGATAAATCTTGCATGGACTGCATGACAAACAGGTTTGCTGCCGCCTGCTCCTGGGCGGAGCTCGCATCGTGCGGTACGGTGCATGGCTTCGATTCCCCTTTGACCGGGAGGCTGTCTCACCATTTGATCAATCCCAGATCTGGGTTGCGGCCACTAAGGCTTTCACATGATGCAGTTGTGACGTCTACAAACGAAGTCGAGACATGCAGCAGCCCGATGTACTATCATGGTTTCACTGCATCGCACTGTGAGGACCAAGCGCGTGCTGGAGCCATGGCCGTGTAACGGCCACTAATGAGCTTGCAAAGAGCTTGGGTTGCTAGTATCGCACATATGGATGGGACCCTCTGCATTTAGTCAGCTGCAGCAGAATACTTAGCTCCAGTGATGCTCAGGGAGAACGGGCACTTGCCAGAGCAATGCGTGCTTTTCATGTCCGCGAGAATGTGCATTTGCCAGACGTCCGCAAGCCCCAACTTAGAGACATCGAACTCCACCAACTGCCCACATGCCGGGTCCCGTTGACAAGCCGTTCCACTGTCTAACTCCGCTTAAGTACTCCGCTTACCAAGGTTGCTAGCTGCTGTCAGCAGCTCAACACTCTTTGTGCTGCCCGTGACCTCTCGAAAGCTACAGGAACAGCTTGGGTTGTGGATGTTGTGGTGACAAGCACATACCCCCACTGGTGTGTGTCAACGGCATCTGAGCCATTCCTGGCTGCCGTGGTGTGCTTGCGGGTTGCGATAGCAGCTGGGCGAAAGGCAGCTGCTGAGGTGGCAAATGCTGTGAGTGTAGCTGCTGTGGTGGTAACTGTTGTGGTGGCAACTGCTGTGGTGGCAGCTGCTGCGGAGGCAGCTGCTGCGGAGGCAGCTGCTGTGGTGGCAGCAGCTGTGGTGGCAGCTGCTGTGGTGGCATTTGTTGCGGGGATGGTTGGGTCTGCTGTGGTGGCAATTGCTGTGCCGAGACCTGTGTAGGCAGTTGGGCATTTGGCAGGGGCAGGGACGTTTGCGAGGCCATCTGAGGCACGTAGGCCATGACCTGACATGAACTGAGTGGCCAGGCTTATAAATGTCAACACCATGCGGCACCGGACTGCCAAAGCCCTTATCTCATGTAGGTCCCCTTCACCCCTTCTGGTGGTCGCGATGCTTCTTGCCAAAAATAATCGAAGGAGCTACCTGCGGCAACACGGGTTGTGGCCACATCGGCGTCGATGGCAGCGATGCATTCGGCACCTAGAGTGCGTGCTCGAAGAAGTGGAAGCAGTCCGAAAACTAAACTCGCAGCCTGGAAACCTCATCCAAAGATTTGTGACATACTAGCAGACCTCTTAGTTGGCTGACGAAATGCTCATTGGGATACGGGTGGGTGGACTGCAGACAAGATTCGTAGCTGTTGTTCCCACGCACCGACTGCCTCGATTTCTTGAGATTGAGCTTGCAGCGGTGACGTGTCGAACACACAGGTCGAATGTGCTTCGCTGATGCTTTTGATGTTGCGTGTTCCGTTTACAGTCTGAGGTAGTAAGCGTCCTGTTTCCTGCTTCTATTCCCCTACTGTGCATGGGTTGCACCACCACCAGCAACAACAACACCCAAGCCAAGACAGCGACGAATCCACCATCGGCAGAAGCCCGAGCCAACACCACGACCCAGCTGCAGGTACCGGCACGCAAGCGTAATAGTCAACGCATCTTGCTGAGCAGAGACGGCTCTATATCTTTGAACCAGTGCAAGCGCAGAAAGGCTATAGGCATTGGGTTCAGGGATGTTCAAGGTCTCCGTGCCCGAGATTGGGTGCGCAGACTTCTCCCGACTGGACCCACTCTGGCAAACCCACACCGAAACTCTCTGAAACCGCACCGAAGCTAGCATCCATCAGCAAGACTTATGTTTCTCGCTGTGCTGGGCCAAGTCACAGTCCGTGAAGTGTGCTGCCAGGTCGCCTGGGATCGACACACCCAAGACTGCGTTCCGGCCTGCGTGCGCCTCCCCCTAATATTAAAACTTTCCACGACCCCCAAATCTTAAAACCGGATCGACAAACAGAACAGAAAGGGGGTTTCGGTTCGGTCGGATGGGATTTCGGCAGCCCGCAGGCCCTGCAGCTGTGGCCCCTGCGCACTCTCGCGCAGGATCCAATCTTACGTTCCTATGGCGTCTTGCAGCCGCCCCCGCCTTCAGTTCCTGCAGTCTTGAGACAAGTCCGACTTTCCAGTGCGCACTTAGGGTTTCGGGTGCCAGCTCCTAAACTCCTAATTAACGCTTAAAAGCCCTGAACTTGAGCTCTAGACCCCGGTCCTCATACTATTCCAAGTAGTAGTACCGTCAGTAGCATGGCCCATAACTTGACTCATAACTCATAACCGTAGTGGCACTCCTCCTAGTTCGGAGTATCACTACCAGCGAGAGTAGTGTTGCTAGAAAAGCTGCTACAGTCCAAGATGGCCCCTATTTTCAAGTACGGGTCCCGGTCCCGAAACCGCAAATCCGCCCGCCGAGATATTCTATTGAAGCGAATAACTATTCACATGCATGTGCGTACATACATACGCACAAAGATAGCATCCCACGCCATACCATGCCATGCGTTTCGTATCTTGCTGGGCGCATAGTTGTGGGCCGGCCTGGAATTAGCAGTTCGATGATTCTCGTGATTGGTTTTTCGACGATAGAATGGGTGGATTGACATCAGCAACCTTTCGTTCCAAGGTGTGAAGCATGCAGGCTCTCAGAATTTCGACTGATGTCCGGGTTTAAAGCGAGGGATGGCAGCCCGCTCTAAGTAAAGACGCCATTTCGCGAGACGCTACGTTTATACAGAGCCACGACAGAGACGAAGAAGTTACATCGAGCCCCTACAGAAGTTCTCTGAACGTCTCATGTAAAGAGCTGACGCTGATCTTCTGAGAAACATATGGAGGCACAAAGACAGAGGCACCCATGCACATGGCACTCTGCGTGTATGGTATGAGGAATGCATGAACTTGGCTATGTACGGAGGTATGTTGCAGTATGCGGTATAACGGAACGCTACAAAAAACTCTTCTTCGCACAAAGTCGCTGAATCATGAAGGGCAGAGTTGACCTGCTCGACCGAAAGCTGCCCAGGCTCGCAGACCTCCAGGATCGTTACATTCAGACGCCTCTTATAACCATATTCGAAATAAGAATGAGCCTATACCGGACTGTCTCACCCCGACAACGCGTGCAGATCATGTGGTGGGACCCCCCCGCCCCCCCAATATCTTTGGAGGCCACTGCATGGCAGATCATGGCATTATGGCGGGAGCTAGACTTCGACTACGGCAGGCAGAAGCGCACAGGGCGGTTGCAACGCGCATCTGGGAGGCGGAGGCGGGAGCAAGATTTCGCCAGGCGGAACTGCGTTCAAACACTGGCAGTTAGGTGGCAACCTTCGTCACCAGCCAATAGAATCTGGAGCTTCAAGTAGACGAACGCTGAATACGTGAATAATGATTTGGCAAATCGCCTGGCTCCTAACTTGACCTCCACTGCAAGATCATTGCAGCTTCAAGGGTTTAGGGGGATATTATACTATACTTATAATAAGAACCCCCCCAAAAAAATAGGGATATTATACTATAATTATAATAAGAAACCCCCCAAAATAGGGATATAATACTATAATTATAATAAGGAATCCCCAAAATAGGGATATTATACTCTAATTATAATAAGACACCCCCCCCACCCAAAAAAAAAAAAAAATGAAAAAAATAATACAGCAGCCTCGCAGTCCCAGGCCTGTTGCTTGAGGACGAAGCAACCCCTGGTGGAGCGGCAAGGCCTGCGGAGTCCAAGAACAATGCAACAGCAGGTGTAATACTGTACGGTTTAGGGTTTAGGGCTTAGGGTTATCCCTGGGGCTCCAAATAGCCCAATGTAGGTACTATTTACAGACTTTAGAACCCAAAGTAGGTAGTAGTTGATCACTTGGAGCCCTAGGGTATGGTCATCCCTACAAGAACCATGCTAGTCCTAACCCTCACCTCGTTAGATTAAGGATTCGGAACTTTGGGGTTTGGGGTCTGCATGCTGGCGCCCACACACCTCAACCGAAGCAAGTTCAACGAACCTAGCTTAAGGGGCTTCGGATCTTGCCGAAGGGTATCGGGCTCCTTCCACTGAGAACTGAAGGTGGTTTCCGAATACTGGCTCAGTTTGGGCTACAGTACCTTGCTCCTAACCTGGTGTTTTGAGGCAGGCGGGCGCATGCATCTTCCCCAACTGCCTGATAGGGCTACGGATTTGGGGCAATCCGTGCATAAGTGTCTTACAGAACTGATCCTATCGATCGGAGGCTAGAACGTGTTATTCCTGAATCATACAGGGACACAAGCCAGCGCACACTGTCTCGGACTAGTTGAAGGGAAACTACTCTACCTATAGTCTCCATTGTAGTTCCTTTTGGGGATACTTTATAAACTCGTTAATATATATTTGGTTAAACCAAAAAAAAGGAACTACAATGGAGACTATAGGTAGACTTCTATGCCCGCAAAACGAAACCGAAGCCCAGGACAAGACACTTCGTCGGGGAGGGGATGGCGGCCGCCAAGATTGCCCGTGAGCACCTCATCTTCGCAAGCTCGAACTGCTTCATCCAAGATGCTTTGTATAATGTATCATAGCATTATAACATAACATGATCTAATATGGTATGATCCTTCAGAGCTTAGGTGCTCACGCCGAGATTCTTAGAGCGACCTTTTCAGTCTCAAGCACCCTTCGAAAACGACTGTCGACCATAAATCTCGAACGTTTCTTGAGAAAGGGCTTTGTGAACCTGGAGACTCCGACAGCATCTTCTGCCGGCAGTATCATGTAGGCAGCTGAGTCAATAGATCCGGACATACAAGTGCGACAAGACATTCAGCTGAGCTGCGAAGGAAAAATCAAAACCTCACCCTGACCTCCCCTCAAGTTCCCCGTTGCGCCACGGCACTACGATGAACCAAACCTGCCTTTTAGCTATAGTAAAACTGCAGATGCATAAATCAAACGCTCTTCTGCAGGGCTGCCTCTCTTGGCACCAAAGAGCGGGAGTTCGGAATTATGGTTCGTAGTTCTCTAAATTAAGCTCCCTTTTTAAATCCCCCAACCCTTACAGAAAGGATCCTACAAGCTCGTAGCGGCAGATGGTACTGGAAAGCAGACTGTTTGACGAAGGTATGCAGAACAAGAGGGAACCGTGAATCTAACCATACCGTAAACATAGAGGGCCAAAACATATGGGTAGGGTTTAGGGTTATAGGGCCTTGAACTCTCAAACCTTAAACTTAGGGTGCGAAAGGTGTATGCACAGCCAGCTCCACTTACAAACCTGCAACTGAACCCTTACACTTACACTAGGGGAGCCCTTTAGGCCCAAAGCATCAGCCCCCCCACCCCCCTTCGGAATCCTGGGCATCCCGACCGAGCAGTGCTGCGCTTGCGGCCTCTGCTGCTTCCGCTGCAGCCTGGTCCCGAGGGCACTGGATCTTTGGCCCACATGTTGGGATGTGAACGAAGGATCTACGGGCTTTTTATTTGGGACACTACCGGTTTTGTAGGCTTCGAAAAAGACGAGGCAGCTGACTATGTCGAACAGCAGGGAAACTCCAACTGAAGGCTGTTGGTGTTTTAGGGTCAAGGGTTGCCCTGGGTGGAGGGTGTTGGGGCCGAAGTGCCTGCTAATCATATGCTTCCACGACTTCCTCCGTGATCCGAATCTCCGCTGTGTGTAAAGATCTCTAGGCAATGACACTGCTTACAAATCACGAGCAGCGGCATGGCATATCATCGTCTTTGCCTGCATCGTCATCATCACCATGATCATATTCGTCATGGGTAGCCCTGATGGCAATTTGGAAAACACCCTGGCCACCGTCAGCATGATAACCACTACGATCATCAACATCATCACCGAAATTATCAACTGTCATCACCGTCATCATCATCACCACCATCATCATCGCCATCAGTTACATCAGCGCTATCATCTTCATCGTTGTTGGCGCAATCATCTTCATCACGACCACCCTTCATCGAAACAGCCATCTTCAGCACAGCACTACTCGTGAGAATCATCAGCAGGATCAACACCACCATTGTCGCTGTCCTAGATTAGGGTTTAGGGTTTAGGGTTTATAAGTTTAGGGGT